GGGGTTTATATATCTCAGTTAATTAGATTCGCTAGGGCTTGTAGCAACGTAAAGGATTTTAACGAGCGAAATATTTTCATTACAATATTTTACAAAATTTTACAATCGTAACTTTGATTTTATTTCAAAATTCAATAGTGATCTAAAGACTCTTCAGCGACAAGGGATTAGCCAGCCTGATGTTTACAGGGATGTTGTTTACAAACTTTGTAAGATCTTGGGTCATTGTAATTTTTCTGTTGTGGTTACTAAATTAATTAAACGTTTTATTAAAAGGGGTTAAGGACCCTACTATTTTAAGACATACCGCATGCTTAGTGTTCAACCCGTTTACAGTTGGACGCTACGCTTTCCTCTTCTGATTACATCTGACGGACCAGGTGGGAGACTATGATGGACAGTTCTTAAAGCCTTTTGAGACTGAATTGCCTTAATGTTTGTCTTCTGTGTTGCTTCATCGGGCCCTTGTAGGTGATTTTCTTGTTGCTCTGTCTTCCTATAAGACATCGAGTACTTTTGTTATGGTCATTGGGTTTACTTTTATATGTTTCTACATGATCATTTTAGTGTTTTACTTATTTAACCTTTTGAACCATAACAACTGTTAGAATTTCAGTTGGCGGGGATTCATTTTATTTACACTTTCTTGTTTATAGGAACATGGTGGGGCTTAGAGCGAGGTTTGGTGCACCATTAACCGGTTTAAACTCCCAAGTAGTCATTATTATGCTGCTGACCGTTCCAAGCCGGCGCCCCTCTGTTTTCCTCAGATGTATGTCTATGTTGTTTCATACTGTTTTGGTGACACTTTTGCTTGTGTCCCTTGTTGTTATCTCGTCTACGGTAAGTATCTTCCCCTTTACCCCTAGTTTTTATTTCTTTGATTACCCCCCCCCCCCCCTTCTCCCGGTTTCCTGTCTCCTTCCCCTGTGCCCTTTGACTTTGTGGGCCTATTATTCAATCATTTATTTGTTTTCATTGAATTCCTTATCAGTTTCAAATTATTTATCTTTTAGTGATTAACCTGTCCGTGCTCTGTCTTGTGCCCTGTCCTGTTTTTATTTGGGGTCCTCCTTGGCTCCTTGCCACTGACTTGTTACTGGGTCGGGTTGGAGCTGTGTTCATTGAACGCCGCCTTTCCTTGATGATCTTGTTTATCATATTTTTTTTATCAAAGTCGTCTGGGTAGCAAGTTCAAGCTGCCTCTTGATACAAGCTATAATACACCAAGCTTCGTGTCAATAAGCCAAAGCAAACTAAAGAAATTGAGCAGAAACTGAATTTCTATTTTATTATTTTTTTGCAACAGTGCCCTTGGCCTTGATCACAGACACCTGGATAGCAATCCAAAACTGTCTCTTGATATAAGCTACCCAAACACCAAATTTGTTAATGATCCTTCATTAGTGACTCACGCGTAATACGTCATCGCGTACCTCCGCGATGACGTCGTTGCAACAGGACACCTACGCGATGACGTCGTTGCAACAGGGCCGGGGGTAGGGCCAGGCATTCTCTTAATGATCCTTTATTAGTCAGTAAACGTTGACTCACGCGTAATACGTCATATACTAATAAAGACTCACGCGATGACGCATTCTTTTAATGACCCCTCTTTAGTGACTCACGCGATGACGCATTCTTTTAATGACCTCTCATTAGTGACTCACGCGATGACGTCGTTGCAACAGGGTCGGGGGGTAGGGCCAGGCATTCTGTTAATGACCCCTCATTAGTGACTCACGCGATAACGCATTCTTTTAATGACCCCTCATTAGTGACTCACGCGATGACGCATTCTTTTAATGACCCCTCATTAGTGACTCACGCGATGACGTATTCTTTTAATGACCCCTCATTAGTGACTCACGCGATGACGTCATTGTAACAGGGCCTGGGGGCAGATCCTGTGGATCCTGGCATTCTCCCGCATCCTATACTACTACACATGTATTTTGGTGTTTTTTTTGATACGCGTATTGCAAGTCTGTGTATTATCTGGGCCTATTTTATTTCTATTCTGAAATATGTTGAGTGGAATTGTTAATTAGATAATTTTGTGGCCGAATAAATTAGTGCATAATTATTATAACGTTTATTGTCATTAACTTATTATCAATATATGTAAATCACTAATAAGCTTTTCTTAAGTTAATTATGTTCTAATCGTCGACTATCCAGTTTATTTTGAGTAAATGTCTTCACGTACATAACTTTTTTGGAATATCTTTAAGTTTTTCTGTGTAATTTTGATTATAACAGTTACTGTATAATTTATAAATCACGATCCCGTTGACTTCTGACAGATACAAAAATCGCATTACGCTAATTACATTATGCATGCTTAAACATTAATAATTATAATACTTAAGTTATTGAGTGGAAACCGAAAGATGATGTCCGCTCGTCCCCCCACCGACAACTTCAACATAACAAAGACCAGTTTTCGTTAAAAAGCTGGTCAATAATAGGTCAGTGAATCCCCCGAGGCAAAAGGCTTTGATTTACAGGTCCACCAGACAATGCTTCATGTCAATTATCTAAGCTCTAGCTTTCTTGCGAGGCAGAAAACATTTTTTTCTCTTTATTGTTTACTTATATAAAGAACACTCTTGACCCTTGGTATTTAACCTTAAACAACATTGAAGAGGCTTACACTGTGTCACGACAAATATCTAAGCTCTAGCCTTTGAAACAGGAGGGTATAATTTTCCTTTAAAGTAATACTATATGTACATAACGGCAATCTATGACTCCCACGCCCCGGAAGGGCAAATTCTGACCGCAGGTCTATGATTAACTATGCTTTGTGGCGGTCTACTTCACAATTAACTAATACATATTACCAAATAGATTACATCAATTACCAAATATCAAAGACATAGGCCTCGTATTTTGAAAAAGAAGTTTTTGTTTATAAATTTGCAGTGTCTGGCTCCTTTTGTATATGACGAAAAGATATGCTGCATGCCAAATATCAAAGGTGTTCATTTCCAAAATAAGATTTAAGCTCCTATGATCTACGTTAACTAATGAATGCGGCCGTAAACTAAAATATAACTTTTGTGAAGTTTTGTCAAAATACATCGAGTAGTTTTGAAGTAGATGTTGTTTAAAAAAAATGAGGATAACGACAAACGACAGACACATTGTCACAAGAAAAGACCGCGACTAGTATAACACAACAGGAATGCATCCAGCAAAGTCCTAGTGACAAAAACGAATGGCATTCAAGTAAAGCTACACTGGAATCTAGATACCAGGTGGAATTGTATTGGAATGTGAATAGAAATGCCGTTCATTTGAAAATTTCTGTAAAGATGGAATTTCAGCGCAATTTAAATAGAATGCCTGTTCAGGTGGAATCCTAATGGAATCTTAATATCAATACCAGTTCAGCTGAAATTCTAGTGGAATTTGAATTAATAGTGCCAATTTATCAGAACCTTGACTGGAATTGTAATATCTAACACAAAGTAGATGCAACAAGTTGTTTTGACTTTTGTGTCTTTATGAGAAATTTAAACAATGTCCGTAACAGATCATTTATGCATAAGAAATAAGAATCAAAATAAAAGAGTTTATAATTCAAAAATATATTTCAATATCAAATAAGTTAATATTGATTGTAGGGTAATTAACAAAACAGAGGTTATAACCATTAATAAACTTAATAAAACAAGAGCCACCGGTAGCGGGGCAACGCTCAACTTGTTTCGTACTACTTACGACGAGGAATATTGTAGAGAAGAAAACTCTTAGAAAACCTAACTTCTTTGAACAAAAAATAATTTCATATTTGAACTTGACGATCAATGTCATTTAAAGGTCAAGGTCACATTTAAATTAATCTGTTTTATCTAAATATGTGATATTTTGTCTAAGAATTAATCAAATTCATAACAAAATAACCAAGAATGAGAGCTTAAGCACATTTCAATAACTTTTTATTGATAGTAAAGGCCAATGTAAGGTCAATGTCATTCTAAAAAATCGACAGGTCAGTTTTGTCCTATGTTAGCTTTAAATGTCCTTTAAAATACTGTTTTTAAGGCAGTTGTGCTCAAGTATGAAGATTATTCATTCATAAACAACAAAGATATTGCCAAGTACATCAAAAATTAAGAAGTATTAAACATTATGACCTTCAAAATCATATTTAATTGAGTCCACTTAAAGGTGTTGTCCAAAGAATTGTTGGGTTCAGGTATGAAGACAATTCATTCATAAATGACAAAGTTATAGCCAATAATATGAAAAACCTAGTAAATTTTTAACATTTGACCTTGAAAATCAGGGTCATTCATGAGAGGAGATCTATTCCAATATGGTCAAGTTAAAGGACTTGTCCAAATGGTTATTGTGTTCAAAGTTTAAGACAATCCATAAAACAAGAAAAGTAAAGAAAGTTTTCGGACGGCAACGGCACAAGCAACAGCACTGGCAACGAAAAAATCAATAGCTAAAAAGATTAAAAATAACCGAAATTTCATAATTATCGCAAATGTCATAATTTACATACATGTACTTTGATTACATTTATCAATTAAATTGGATATAAAAAAACAATGATTTTTTTAATAATCAAAATAATAAAACCACACTATTGAAGATATTATGCATACTATTAATAACCATTAGGTCTCTGGAATTCAAGTGGATTTTTGGTAGACTTGATCTGGTAATCCAGTGATGTTTTACTGGAATTCCAGTGAAGTTTGTCTGGAATTCTATCTTGAAGTCAAGTCGTATTTATCTGTAAATGATTTTATGTGGAATTCCAGTGGATTTTATTTGGAATTTCAGTGAAAATAAACTTGAAATTCCAGCGGTATTTGTCAAAGGTACAAATGGTTTTTAGTAAAACTTTCTTGATTTCAAGTCGAATCCCATTGATATTTCCATAGAATTCCACAAATAGTGAAAAGATACCAGGGGAACTATGGTGAAATTTGAGTTTAATCAATATAAAGGACTGAAGTTTAAAATTGTATATATACCTGACTTCATCAAGTCTTCAGAGCTAATTGATGGAAATGTCCCTTTAACCGGTTGTCTCCGAGTATCGATTTTCACAAATGCTACATCAACGGATGCCTTGCCTTCAGTGACTTTACCCATTTTATGAAATTTGAGTTCCCCACATCGTTTTGATTCTGTTTCTCCTATTCCTTCTTTAAAACTGGGTTGATTACATATTATTAAAGGAGTGTGGTTTTTTCTTAGATCTTCACCATCAAGAAAAATGTGTGCGCATGTCATTAAACACAGTCCGTGATTTTCATGTTCAATGAAACCTCCAATTGTTCCATAAACTTCTATATGGTTTGGACCTATTTCGCAGCCAATTTTCAAGTTTTGACAAAAATCACTTGGTTTTTTATTTCCATACATTTGGAAAACAGTTTCGCGTACATCAACTGGAAAGCCGTCTAACATTTTTGGAAAACAATCTTCATCTAAAGGAATGTACCCTTTAATGTGAACATAAAGGACAATGCAGTCTTCGCTTTTCATTGAATGTTTTCCACTTGGAAATCCAAAGGATTTTAAAGAACTTGCACAAATCATAATAAGGTTGCTATGTTGCTTTTGCAATGTGTTGGAATATTTCTTAATTACATCTTTTATTTCCTTATTTTTTTCATCATCAATATACGACTTTGTATTAAATTCATGTTTAAGAACCAACATGTCTTCATCGTTTGTTTCCATTTTTTGTCTCAAAACTATTTCAAAATCTTGGTCATAATTTATTTCTTTTGATGAGTCAACATGCTCATTTGTTTCCACAACAAATATAACATCATTTTTATCATTTTCTCTGTAGGATGGCCAGACCTTAACAATATTTTCAGATCCTGCTTGGATATCATGGCATATCTCTTTCGTTAATGTTATTGACTTCTTCTGAATGTATTCCATATTGTTGACATGCAGCTTGTAATGAATTTTTATTCCATTTGACATTTCCTTGCACCAATTCCCAGTAATCTTCTTCTGTTCCTTCATTAAACAACGGGGTGCTTTCAATCGAAGATTCTGCAGTATATAGAGAAATTTTGCTAATTGTTTAACCTTTATGAGCCATAAGATCATGCAAAAAGAAAACAAGAGCCGCCGCCTGGCATGGATCACGCTTGGCTTTGTTATTTTATTTTCAAAGTCGCAAGTCGCACACATCGGAGAAAGAATATTGTTGTAAAGAAATACTCTTAGAAAACATCATTTGCATGTAAAAAATAATATACCAAATTTCGTAATAGACCTTAACATTCAAGGTCATTCAAAGGTCCAGGTCACAGTTGAATAAATCATCATGTCAATGATTTTCATAGATATTATTTTGTTCAGGAATGAATCAAATTGATAAAAGAAATAGGAAAGTAATGACAACAGTAACTTAAGCTAATTTAAATAATTTGACCTAAATGGTACAAGCCAATTAAAGGTCAAGTCGTATCAAAATATTTCAACAGTCAGTTTTGTCATACGTGTTCTTTCTCTAAGTATAATTCAAATCTGTAATTAAATAACAAAATATTACAACATAAGCACATTTAAATAATTTAACCTCTTGGGTCAAAATCATTTAAAGGTCAAAATAATTCATCATGTTCTTTCTGTCGTATGTGTTCTTTTATAAAAAAAATCAATTTATTTGTACAAATTACAAAGTTATTTCAATTTTAACAAAGTACAATAAAATGCCCGTGACAGTCAATGTCAATCAGAGAAATTCAACATGTCTGTAACCGCCTCCATGGTCGAGGGATTAGAACCGATGATATCTAATCCAGTTACCTCTCTGGTGTGGGTTCATCCCCGGGAGATGCTTTGGTAGTTTAGCACGGACGAAGGAAGTCTAGTACTGGTGTAACTCTCCAGGAACGATGGTTAAGAAACTACCCGCCTATATGACTGAAATACTGCTAGGAAAAAGCGTAAAATGAAACAAACAAACAACATGTCTGTTTTGTAAAATGAGTTCTTCAATTCAATGATTTGACAATAACAGTTAAAGTCATAAAAACTCAAGATCATATTTGAACTATTAAATACTAGTATACGAGTATTCTATAAGGATTCTTTTTTTCTGAGTATAAATCCGTTAAAAAGAACAAAGTTATGATTATTTAAGCAAGTATTAATAATTTGACCTTGAAGTTCAATGTCAATTAATGTTCAAATTCATATTATAAAATTTTTTCAAAATAGATCTTTTGTCCAAGTATAATTGAAATCTGTAAATTTATAACCAATTTATCCTTAATCTTAATTAAATATTTAGCATTGACATCCAATGTAATTTAAAGGTCAATGTCATATTTAAAATACTAAACATTTTAGTTTCATTATCAGTGATCTTTTGTTCAAGTATAAAATCGAATCCATAAATGGATAGCGAAATTATTGCTAATTACAGCCTAACTAGCTACTTTTCGGTCTAAGTCCGTATGTGACTTCCTGTTACTTTTTCAGGGAATAATAGTAGAATTCTAATTGGTCCTTTAAAATATCAAATTTCACTTGTCATTCTAAAATTAGGTTGATAATACAAAAGATCTTAATGAAACGTACACAAGTGCAAATTATTACAGGAGGGCCATCATGGCTATAAATCGATCACCTGACCCATGGAACTCATCCGAACAATTTCCTAGACAAGCATTCTGACAAAGTTTGAAGATGATTGAGGCAAAAATATGACTGCTAGAGTGTTTACAAGGTTTTTCTATTTTAAGCTCAGGGACTGTGACCTAGTTTTTATCCGAGATGACCCATGTTTGAACTCATCCAAGCAATTACCAATTACCTAGACAAGCATCCTGACCAAGTTTGATGATTGAGTCAAAAATATTACAACTGGGGTGTTAACAAGGTTTTTCTATTCTAAGCTTCTGTGACCTAGTTTTTCAGCCGAGATGACCCATGTCCTAATCCATCCGAGCAATTACCTAGACAATCATCCTGACCAAGTTTGATGACAATTGAATAAAAAATGTGTGACCATTAGAGTGTTAACAATGTTTTTTTCTATTTTTAGCTCCTGTGACCTGTTTCTCATCCGAGATGACCCATGTTCGAACTATCAACTAGATAAGCATCCTGACTAAATTTGATGATGATTGAGGCAAAAATGCGACCGCTAGAGTGTTAACAACTAAATGTGAACGGACGACGGACGACGGACGACGGACAATCATAGATCCTAAAAGCTCACCCTGAGCATACTCAGGTTAGCTAAAAAGGCTTGGAATGGTCCACTTGACAATGTTTCAAGTTTAATACGAGGGTTGATCGATATATTCTGAACACACTCAATAAATAATTTTGTTCGAGGAAGGAAAATAAGTATCATTATATTTGACATTTATTCAATAATTTATCAATTTGATGTGTAAGTTTCAGATAGATAATCCGTAAGGAAGCTCATCAGTTTACCAATAATAATTACATCTAATTGCCTTGTTTAAAGAGAGTGATCAGCAATATTTTTAAGAAAGATAGTTCAGTCTTCTGAATGAAAATGATCACCATGTCATATCAAACTACCTATTAGAGAAATCAAACTTCAATCATTTAATTTCCATTGTGGTATGGCATTGATATTTTAAGCTCTAGTTGATACCTCTATAGATTGATGTGTTTTTAATCAACGACATCAATGATATCATAACTTAAAGATTTGAAAATTGTATATAATTAGCACTTGCCGGGGAGTGTTAAGTATGTCGATATTTAGATGAATATGTGGGATATTTTCCCAAGTTTAAAATAGCATTGTTATTTCAAACTAGCTATCAGAGTTAAAACAAATTTGACATAGTTAATATCTACTGATTACTGCGATTGTACGTGACGTACTATAATAAAGTTATTACAGCAAGTTACAGAAAAACTTAAACCATCAGTATTTTGACATTTAAAGTCAATGTTATTTAAATCCCAAGCTCAAATTAAGTTTCATCAGCTTGAAAGCCTAACCCAAGGATTGTCTTGTCCATTTATGATGACTATTTATCCATGTATAACAAAGCTATTAGCTACTTTAGTATGTCTTTGGTATATTTTGTGAGTTAAAAAATGATGCATAATTATATCAAACTTAAACTTTCTTAGTAAAAAACTCGACATATCGACTCGTATGTATTTTTGTTTCGCATTGTTATATGTCAAGTTTGTTAAAGTATGAATATAATGCATTGGTCAGGTAAAAAGTTACAGTCAATTATAGCAAACATCAGTGACATTAATGTCGTTTCCTTAAGAATGCTGTATCTAAGTAGGAACACAATCCATCTGTTAATAGCAAAGTAATAGCCAGTTTCATAGTAACATCGTTAATGAGAAAAAACAATAATTTGACCTTCAAGATCAAGGTCATTGATGAGGTATGGCCAAAGTCATTCTGGTAAACTTAAGAGACTATCCTAAAAGTTGTTGTGTTTAGGTTTGAATGTAATCCATTCAAAAATTACTGGGTTGTAGCAAAATCAACAAAAATCAAGCAATATTGACATTTAAATGAAGGTCAAGGTGAGTCTGGTGTACTCGAAGGTCTTGTCCACAGGGGTGTTTTTGGCAGGTATCAAGAACATATTCCTAGAAATAAAAGTTATTGAAGTCATTATCAATGTAAAAGTTTGCGGATGGCAACGAGTACGGAAATGCCAACATGACTATAGCAATAACTTTTACTTTCTTCAAAGACAACGCCGAGCTAAAAAAACAACAACAACGAAATAATAGCAAATTATAGCAAAGTTCACTTTATTTGACATTAACGATCAAGATAAAATTAAGGTCAACTTTAATTTATCTTCTTAAATGACTTGTCACAAGGATTGATGTGCACAGGTGTGAGGACAAGCAATTCATTTATTACAATGTTATGACCTAATTAAATGCGCAATTACAAGAAGTCGACCTTTAAAGTCAATGTTATTTATAGGTCAGGGTCAAAGCGAGTTGGATAATTTTAAGACATTGTCCTTAAGGAAGTCGTGCTCAGTCATGAAGACATATCATTCATATTTTCTTGATTTTCTTGATAAAGTTTAAACCAATTATAGCAAAAAGCAAGCAATCAGGTCATTGATGAGTGCCGGACGATTTCAAGTCTTCTTGAAGGTCTTGTCCAAAGAATTTTGTGTCTAAGTGTGAACACAATCATTATTTTTTAAAACAAAGTTATAGCTAATTAAAGCACAGCAAACTAGAAATATGTCCATAGGTTTCGGGTGCACCCACACGTCACTCTTGTCAGTGTACTACTAAAGGAAATGGAACACTTCCCTTATCCCTCAGTGGTTGGGGTTTAAAAATGTAATTAAATAATTCAACTGTTGATATCTTGATTTATCAAAATATTAAGAATTAAAAATTGCAATTTTTTTATCCTAATGTATGATTAAAAGAAAAGTGGCGCATGGCCGAGTGGTAAACGCGTCGGACTAGTAATCTAATTATCGCTAGCTGCATGTGTTCAAACCCAGTCAGAGGTAAGTCGTTGTTTCCTTGAGCAAGAAACTTTACACTCATTGCTCAGTACCGGTTGGTTCCAGGAACGGATTCGAAAGTGTATCTATAAGCTTATAGCTTCCTACACTGTTATGTATGCAACATATTACATGTATATAATTTATATCTGACCAGTTGGTATTTACAATATTATCATTGTTCTATTTTTAGAACATAAACTCATGCACGTGTATGTACTAGAACTTTCTTAACTGTTGTAGAAAACTCATGCATTATATTTAGATAGAAACTTCTGGAATGATCTTTATTATTGAAGTTGCTAGATTATGATTACTGTAGTAAATGGAAGACTATTCTAGAAACTTCTTAGCTTAATATATATAGAAGACATTTTTCTTTCGTATTACCTTTTTAAGTCATCAGTGATCTTTTAAGTCATCAGTTACCTTTTAAGTCATCAATATATTTGGAGTATTTTTCAACTTGGATATTACGTGATTTATTGGAGCTTGGATTATTTAAAAAAAGTTAAAATTATTCTTGTGCATTTTATTGTG